AAGGCTTTCTTAAATAAAGCATCAGATTTTTTTTATTGAGTTTAAGATTTTTTAAGTAATGTTTTTGTCGTGCCTTTTTTCTTTTTGTATGTTGACTATCCAACATGTAAAGTAATTTTGATTTTAAGATTAAAAAATACTTTTATGCATCAGAAAATGTACAAATTTCGTATGAAAATCTTTATAACATTCAGATAATTATCACACATTTAAAAAAAACTATATTTTATCTGTTATTTTCACTATCAAATATATGTATGGGTTTGGTTGATTTGTCCGATCTCGTAACCACCATAAAAAATTAGGAAATAAATAAAAACTATGCTTTTTTTCATTCTAGAATGACTACATATTATAACACAAAAACATAGGTGTTTAGTCTAAATAGCTTAAATCTCATAATATTATATATTTATTATTTTGAATATATTGACCTTTCAGCCATTACTGACGCAGTGCATATGAACCCATGTTACCATATCCAAGAATATAAAACAGGCCTTTACAAAGTGACCTGTCTTAGCTGTGTTTTATAAAATACAGTCACATTTCAGTTATAATACATTATATATATGTTTATACATTATTACTATTTACAAATAAGTTCTTAAACATATTTTTCTTAAAACATAGAACAGTAAATAAAGAAGAATAGCAAACAATTATCTCTTCTAGTTACAAACTTTATATTGTTTGCTGCTTGCCATAGGTTGCTAAGTCTTATCAAATTTTGCACATGGAGGACGTGAAATGAAAATTGTTTTTATGTTTTACATACATGATTTGAAATAACCAAAAATCATAAATTACTATATTAATGCCATAGAATTCCACTATAATGTATCAAGCTTAGTAACTAAGCTGTATTTGGGTCTAAAAAATATGAAATTTTGAGCAGATTAAAGGCTCACCTTACCAGCTTGAGATGACATTGTAATATTTGAAAATGGCTGAGAAAGCCACTAGGGGGACATTCTGAGCTTTTGATTGGTTATTCAAATGTCATAGACAGAAATAAGTGTATATAAGGGGGCATTTCCAAAAATGGAAAAGGGTGAGCATGGCCACTGTCGGTAATTTGACTTCCTAATCTGTATGAAAAAAAATTAAATTTCGAGCTCACTAGTCTTACTTTACCACTTGGATTCTAGCATGAAAAGAAAGAATTTGCTACCCTATTACTTCTAAAAGGGTGAGAAAGCCACTAGGGTACATTCTGAGCTTTTGATTCGTTATTCACACATCATAGACAGAAGTAGGTTTATGTAAGCAAGTGTTTCCAAAAATGGAAAGAGGTGGGCAGGGCCACTGTGTTTGATTCAGTAAATGTAGTGATATCTCAGCAAACAGAAAAGATAGGAATTTCTTATTTTACATTCTAGCTTGTCACTATCAGTAATTTTAATATATATGGTGAATGAAGGTAGCATCTTGAAGTAGTACAAATGTAATCACTTACAATGTATATGCAGTTATTATATATGTCATTAATAAACAGAGCAATAAAGAAGGTTATGGAATATTGGAGTCCTAAGACAATATCGTAGAGTGTATGGAAAAGTTTGCCAGTTAAGAATTCTATCAAGTGGTACCAACAATTTCAAAAGTCAGGGAGCTTGTCAGACAAGAAAGGAACCACGATGGGTCAACATTGTCACTTGACACCATCTTCTGTGGCCACGTGAAGGGCATTATCTACAGGACAAACGTGACTGAACTGATGATATCAAGTAAACACATCATCAATGCAATCGCTACTGTTATGCTGCCAACAGATGGAAGGAAATCAAATATTGACTTGATATTTTGAGGACCACAAATGGTGTACAGGTAAATGTGTATTGATGGCAAATGGTATGTGTATAAACCTGTCATTCATACATCACAAAATGTAAGTTTGTAGCAGTTACTGTGATTTAACTTTGTAACAAGTCAAACTATTTTGGGACACCTTCATCTGTAGCATTTGTGTCCTTTAAACATAAATATACTAAGAGAAGATTCTTAAACAAAATTTCAATCATTTTTAACATGAAATTAAGAAAGAAGGAATACCCTCTGCATAAATAGTTTCATCAATTTACAATTTATGAACACATACAAATGGTTAAAGAGATACAGAGAAAGGCACACATGTACATGTGTTTGTTTAGATTCTATAGATACCAAAAATACAACTGTTAAGTTGTCATACATTATCACATTCTTTTCATGTAAATTATATGCTCATGGTTAATAACTATTCATTTCTTACATAAATAATATCATGATTGAATACTTCATGTAAAAATACCATGAAAAGTTTTTGTCATTAATCTTGTATTCTGTATTAAACTAACAATTAGTTTGAAATGTGGCAAGCACATAAAATAAACAGATATGAGACTGTGTTTAAAGTGAAATCCTTATTGTTTTCATATTCCTAGGATGAAATAAATATATTTTTGTATTGAAACTAATAATCTAAATTTCTATCCCATTTTCACATGACTACATCTCTGAATTAATTTAGCTTTCACTGCAAAGAAACAACCCCAAACTTGCATCAGGAGGTTTCCTATGTAATGAACTAGAATGGTGTAAAATTCCTCCATCTTATTTACATTAAGAAGTGTGAAATATATATATATACGACTTCACAACTCCTGCATGGTATAGTACTCATTGTATCTTACAGTTTCTTTGTGTGACAGCTGCTTATCTTTCAGAAGCATGCTTGTAAATATGTAGGTTAACCTATAACTACATCTGTACATAAGAAATAGTTTTTCATAAGTATTGTCTTTAATAGCAACCAGTTTTCTATGATTATAATTAATTAAAATTAAAAGCCACTTTTAAACTGATTTTCCTAAAACTGAAGCACATTTTACCTCATATTCTCGACTGTACTGCTCTTCAGGTTTTAACTTTCTCTCCATTCCACTCACTATTTCATATGTGTGTTTATAAACACACACATCTTTTTTCTCTGTTAAAACCAGAAAAGCAAAGAAAATTTACAATGTATGGTTAGAAATAAAAAATAAACTTATTAAACTTACAATGTAATGGACAATGCAATACAAACAAATATGTTACTTACAGAATGACCACACTGTTCTAATGAATTTCCTACTGAAACAGCCAAACAGTAAGTTAAAGAATAGGGGTAACTCCTACAGTGAAACTTTCAGTTTAAAGCCTTCTCTTTCTATATCATTTCTGCATGCAAATCCAACATGTGTTTTAGAAAATAAAAACATGATATGGTGTCAGAGATGAATAATTAACATACTTGAACAATTACAAGAAGAATATTCAGGTAGAGCTGATGAGATGGTCATTATTCAGGTAGAATTAATGAGGTGGTTATTATTCAGATAGAATTAATGAGGTGGTTATTATTCAGGTAGAGTTGATGAGATGGTCATTATTCAGGTAGAATTAACGAGGTAGTTATTATTCAGGTAGAGTTGATGAGGTGGTTATTATTCAGGTAGAGTTGATGAGGTGGTTATTATTCAGGTAGAATTAATGAGGTGGTTATTATTCAGGTAGAATTAATGAGGTGGTTATTATTCAGGTAGAATTAATGAGGTGGTTATTATTCAGGTAGAGTTGATAAGTTTGTCATTATTCAGGTAGAATTGATGAGGTGGTTATTATTCTGTAAAGTTGATACGGTGGTCTAATTCTAATCATGGAACCTTCTCGTGGCTCTTATGTATCTGATTCTAACAAAGAAATGGTCTTCTCATGGTCTTAACATATACAATTCTAGTCAAGGAACCATTTCCCGGTTCTAAAATATCCAATTCTAACCAAGAAACCTGCTCATTGTCGTAACATATACAATTCTAGTCAAAGAACCATTTCCCGGTTCTAAAATATCTAATTCTAACCAAGAAACCTTCTCATGGTCGTAACATATACAATTCTAGTCAAGGAACCATTTCCTGGTTCTAAATTATCCAATTTTAACCAAGAAACCTTCTCATGGTCATAACATATACAATTCTAGTCAAGGAACCATTTCCCGGTTCTAAAATATCCAATTCTAACAAAGAAACCATCTCATGGCTCTGATATACCTAATTATAACCAAGAAACCATCTCTTGGTTCTGACATACCTAATTATAACCAAGAAACCATCTCATGGCTCTGATATACCTAATTATAACCAAGGAACCCTTTCTTGGCTCTGACATACCTAATTATAACCAAGAAACCATCTCATGGCTCTGATATACCTAATTATAACCAAGGAACCCTTTCTTGGCTCTGATATACCTAATTCTAACCAAGAAACCTTTCTTGGCTCTGATATACCTAATTATAACCAAGGAACCCTTTCTTGGCTCTGATATACCTAATTATAACCAAGGAACCCTTTCTTGGCTCTGATGTACCTAATTATAACCAAGGAACCCTTTCTTGGCTCTGACATACCTAATTATAACCAAGGAACCCTTTCTTGGCTCTGACATATATAGTGGCTGGAAAATTATTTGCACTTAAGTAGTAATTAACTTTATGGTAACCTCTCCAGGGACTATATTTTATTCGTTTACTAATACTGATGAATCTCAGCGTGCCATAAATTATATCATGAACAAATTTTAAAATAGTTTTACTTAGCTGGGGACACAGCATTTTTTTCATTATGACAAAAATGGAGCCAGTATGCTGCTTGTGAAATGTTGTTAAATGAATATCAACACCTCTGGTGCTGCTCTGGGAAATGTTGAAGAATGAGTATTCATTCTACCCCACTCCCTCCCTCTCATCTGAGTGATCAACTTATAGATTGTGGCCTTTCTCAGGTGATGTAGAGACTTTGAAAACATTTACACTGTACTTGGATGTTAAAAACATTAATAAAACAGAGATTTTGAAAACATTCCTACTGTACTTGGATGTTAAAAACATTAATAAAATAGAGATTTTGAAAACATTTACACTGTACTTGGATGTTAAAAACATTAATAAAACAGAGATTTTGAAAACATTCCTACTGTACTTGGATGTTAAAAACATTAATAAAATAGAGATTT